CAGGATATGTTTTTATTGATTCTTAGAGAGAGAGGAAGGGGAGGAGAGACCGAGAGAGAAACAGAAACATCAATCTGAGAAAGAAACATTGATCAGCTACCTCCTATACATACCCCGACCAGGGATGGAACCTGCAACCTAGGCATGTACCCTGACCGGGAATCAAACCTACAACATTTTGGTGTAGGGGATGACACTCCGACCAACTGAGCCACCTGGCCAGGACATTTTAAATCAAGGTGTGGCTCAGTTGTTGAGTGTCAACCTATGAACCAGGAGGTCATAGTTTGATTCCCAGTCAGGGTACATGCCCAAGTTGTGGTCTCAATCCCCAGTGAAGGGCATGCAAGAGGTGGCCAATCAATGATTCTGTCTCATCATTGATGTTTCTATCTCTCTCAAATCAATAAAAAGTATATTTAAAAATAAATAAATAAATAAAAAGATTAAATGGTAATCACATGACACACATCACACTATTTTTTAATGAGGAAGAACAGAAACCAAATTTGGTTCTGAATTTTCTCATGAAATCCACAACACATTTAAATGTCTATTAAATATGAAGAATGCAACAAACATACCATATAATTAACTATCAAATATAAAAACAAGTCTTACTCATTTTGCTAATACTTATCTCCAGTCTCCACACCAAAGTCAAATTTGTTGCATTCTGAAGATGTTAAAGAGTTAAGTCAGAGTTACAAAATAATGAAATGCAGAATTAAGACTTAAAAAACAAATGAACAAAATAAACTTCCCTTACTTTCATAACACTCAAGCCTGTCAGGTGATAGTTCAAATAAAAATTAAGCATGGATTTCACCGTTTTCTTTAAGAAACAGGTTCAGACTGCTGGTATAGTTTTTCTTACAACCATACACCAAAACTTTCGGTTGAGATGACTTCCTTTTTTTTTTTCTTCTATGACAATTGGGTATTTTGATCTAATAGGCGAAAAACTCCAGACTTGGCGGTGGAACAGACACTGAATTAAAAATCCAAGGATCAAATGCCATAAAAAGAGATTTCTATTTAAGCTCTGAAAAAAATCTATAGAAAGGGGAGGGGGACTAGTTATTCTGTGGAGATGGAATTGTATTAAGTTGTGCCAACTAACCTGGTGGAGGGGTTAGAAGGGAAAGGAGATGACACAGCAGTGGGATGTTGTTCTGGACACAGAAAGCAGCATGTAACTGCACATTGGCAACAGTGAGGCAAGCTAACAAAGGGGACAGAAGATGTACCTGATGGTAGTGTAGAGAGCTAGCAGTTGAGTAGGAGGAGGTGGCATATGAGACGTAGGCTGGGGTGCAGTAGGAACGATCCCTGGTGGTAAAGTTGAGTAGCTTAAATTTAATACAAAATACAGTAAGAGCCCAGTGAAGCAAGTCCAGAGCCCAAGATAACTAACAGCTACAGTACAGAATTTGAAGCTGTCTAAAGGATAGATATCATACAAGGAACCTATAAAGAGGAGGTTATAAAAGTTACAAGAGAAAACATTCAAAATCTAGTCATGTTTTCCTTTTAGAAATAAAAATATAAACAAGGATTTAGAGGCACCAGAGCTGTTTGTGTTTTCATAATTTGAATAAATAGGAGGGAAACAAGATGAAGTAAATTCAAGTTTAGGCACCTAAGAAAGTTGAGTTGCATAACCAAATCCAAAGAGAAGAAAGGCAATAATTAAGGTGAATAGGATCTTAAGTGAAAATGATAGGGGATAAAAATTTCTTGGCAACTTGTCAGTTACTAAAGTGTTTAGAAAGACAATAAAAATACAATAAACAGAAACAGCAAAATAAATAACAAAGACAATGCTTTATTATATCCTAAAAGCTTCAAAAAAAACCAAAAAACCCCAAAACGAGATAAGACAGTGACAGGAATGAGTCATTTAATGTGATAAAATAATTTTCCAAACTACAAGTAAATCTCTTAGGATTCTTTTTGTTTAAATGCAATTCTAGTTTATTTAAACAGCTGATTCTTATTTTTTCAGAAATAAGTTATATTTCAACTGAAGAAATTTTACTAAAAATCCTGAAGAATTCAGCATTGTTCAGTAATACTTAATAATTTAAAACAAATTTAGTAATGAAGACCTTATTGTGCACTACACTTTTAAATTCATCCCTTGCCTAATGTCATTTGAATGCTTTATATTAGAGTAGACCTTAAGGCTGAGAAGCTGACATTTTAGCAAGCTCACTACTTTTACCACTAGGTGGCGAAAAAACCCAAGTAGTATCTGTTACCAAAGCTAGTACAAAATCCCAAGTACTTGAACTAGAATTTCCACCAGGTGTCAACCAAGAGAAAAAAAGAGAGACTATTTTCTCCACTCAAATACACAAATTCATAGTTTTATGCATAACTATCAAAAATAAATGAATTTCCACCAGGTGTCAACCAAGAGAAAAAAAGAGAGAGACTATTTTCTCCACTCAAATACACAAAATCATAGTTTTATGCATAACTATCAAAAATAAATGGCCTGCCCATTAACTATCCAAATATTTTGCATATTTATATTCTCATATAATGCCGTTGAGTCCAAGATATTGCCTTGTCAACTAAAATCCAACTAAATAAAATTTCATTTCTTCCAAAAAAGAAAAACAGAAAGCCCAATGAGTTTAGTTTATTGTAACTGATAGATTCGACCTATCCAAATATATGACACAGAAGAATCTAAAAAGTTTTAGACATGGACAACCAAAACTTTTCAAAGTATACTTGGAGAAATATGTATATCCAGATTCATATTTTTTCTTTCTGTATTTCTCTAGTAAGCAGGTCTGTTGATTGCAAAAGTCCAGGTAAGTTTATGCTGTTGTACTTCAAATCTCAGTGTGATTTTATGAAAGCAATACCATGTTACCAAAACTTTCACAATAAAAAGACAAATGTACCTGCTTTTAAGGTGTATTAGAATTATTATTTTGAACAGTCCAAGACTGAAAATTAAAATTACAGCTTTGCAGAATTAAGCCCTATGTATAAACCAAATCATGCTTTTTAAAAACTATGTTATGTGCTTCACTAATTTCTAACCAAGATTTTCCGATCTTGTTGTAAACATGATGCCAGGTAAAACACTATGTCATGCTGCCTTTGGAAAGGTGGTCCTTTTTTAGGCCGAACTCTATTCTTAACCCTCCGGGCACAGGAGTTATAATCATGTCATACCCTGCAAATTTAGCTGTAGGTGGTGTCTCAAAAAAGGACTTTTTCTTCCTTCGAGGAAGTGGTCAAGCCTTTCTTCCCCCTAGTGTCATCATGCAAACCACTTGGTTGTTGTTCGTTGCTATCTAATTACGAGATGGGAAAGAAAGCAGCTGAAGAGAAAGCAAAACCTACTGATTAAATTATGCCTGCTTGTCTTCCTGGCTCTTTATAGTATTCTCTTTTAAGATTCCTTTGGCCTCAAACGAGTTCATGTCCACCCTGGCTGCCAAGCACTGGTTTTTGTGTTGTTGTTGTTGTTGTTTTTCAAACAAAAATATCCAAGCCAAATAGGCTCTTGTCGGAGAACATCATTTCTTGTCTGCTTTTATTACGGTTTCTTTTGAAATTCGTGCGAGTCTGCTCAGCAACCAGCCGCTTGCCCAACCGGTGACTCCCCCGCCCCCATCTCTCTCCACTCATCACTTTCCTCCTCCTCCCAGCCAGGCACAGCGGTCAAACCCCTGCCGTGCCCAGAACGCACGCTTTGGGCTGCACACGCGGCAGTGTATCCTTACTTGGCTTTGCAAACAGCTCCCCATCCAACCCTTGTCCCCCGGCGGCCCCCTCTGCCGTTATCTTTAAATAGAGCGCTCGCCAAAGGGGCTGCCGACGGCCCGTCCGCGAGGGTTGACGGTAGCCCGCCTACCAATAGGAGCGCGCAATGCAGAGGAGTCAGGGTCAGCCTCCCGGCAGCCCCGGGGCCGTCCTCCCCCCGCGCACACCTACT